CGATGCCCTGTTGGACTATTATACCTCGGCGCACGTCGACGCAGTAATCGCCGCCAACAGCTTCAACGCCAGCGACTACTACACCAAAACGCAATCTGACAGCAGGTACTTTGTGTCCAACGCCAACGCCGGCAACATCTCGTTGATTCGGGACGCGGTCACTCCTCCCACCCTCAGGGTCCTGATCCCAAGGTCGCCTTTGAACATCAACGTCATCCTCAGCGGCACTGCGTTGGAGCTGACCTGCGATGCCTACACCAGATCGGAGGCAGATGGCCGTTACGTGCGGACTGGTGACTTGAGCAGCCTGGATAGTCGATACTTCCCGGTCAACGGCAACAACGGCGGCGGCGGCATCTTCCCCATGCTGATCACCACGCTGACGCCTCGAATGATTCGTGCCATCCTGCCCAGACCGCCTCTGAGCGGCGCCTTCATCTTGGGCAACGCAGCCACGCTGGAACTGAACTGCGATTGCTACAGCAAGTCCGAGAGCGACTCGAGGTACTACACCAAAGGTCAATCCGACGCTGCCTTTGCGCCTCTCGCAGATGCACAGAACAACGCCAGCGACATCACGGCTCTGGACGCGCGCGTCACAGCTCTTGAAGGCAGCACGAGCCTCACTGCTTCGAGCTTCGTGAGCACGCCGGAAGTCAGAGCGCCTGCAGACTGGCTGAGCTTGCGCAGCGGCACGGCCGGGACCAGAATTCGGGATTCCACAGGAACCACTGACTGGATGACAGTGACCTCCTCCGAGGCCTTCTTCGGCGTCCGCGCGAGAGTGGACCACAGAATAACCATCGACACGCCTTCAGGACCGGACGAGGGGCTGCACACTGCGGCCGTTCGAGCGAGAACGGGCGATCCCTACCTCACGCTCACAGGAGGCACCAGCGGCGTCGAGGTGGACGGGCCTCTGACCTGCAACGGCCTCGTCGAGGGCGCATCCGCCGTCTTCCCCACCAGCGTGGCAACAGCAGATCTGATGCCCTCGCCGAGCACGAACCCCTTCATGCGGATCATAGGGGGCACAACGGGCACGAGGATCTACGATCAGAGCCTGAACGCGCTCCTTAGCGTGGAGGACGATGAGACACAGAGCACCAGCAGACTCATCTCCGTCACTCGAGCAGCCACTGGCAACACCGTAGGGGCCGTGCTGAAGAACACCGCTGGCACTGGCTGGGCTCGCTTGCAGCTAGACGCCAACGGCTCCACGGGCTTTGCGCAGCTCGAAGTGGGAAGCACCGGTGACTGCATGCTCTACGCCCCCAACCAGGCCATTCGGTTGCACACCGTGACTTCTGGGAGCGCAAACCTCGTGATCGAGCCAAACACAGGAGGTTCTAACAATGGCGAAGTCATAGCCAACTACGGCTTCCAGAACCTGTCCGACTACAGAGTGAAAACGGACATCGAGGAGGCTGACGCCGACGAACTTGCTGAGTGCTTCGAGGCACTCCAGCCGAAGTGGTACAAGCGCATCGAGGCACCGGGCAAGCAGAAGCTCGGCTTCATCGCGCAGGAAGTGCAGGCAGCTGGCAAGGTCGGCGAAGCTCTCTGCGGCAGCATGACCGATGGAGACCAGGAGTTCGTCACACTGGACTACAGCAGGCTGTGTTGCGTCCTGTGGGGTGCCGTGAAGCGACTCCAGGCTAGAGTCGACGCCTTAGA